ACAATTTCACCAGATAAAATACCAGTCAAAAGTAAGATTGGATGTTCAGTTTGGGGCTAGAGCAGGAGCAGTATTTATTTATTTTTTTTTTTACAAAAGGCAAGGTATGTTTATTTAGATTAAGTCCAGTTGCCTGATTCAATGTGACTCAAGGCCTCAAAGAAACTATCTTTTCCTTTACTCTAAGTCCCAAGGTTTGAGCCTAGAGTGGCAGGAATCCTTCTTAGGGCCTGTTCACAGGTTTACAAGTTTCTCATTGAGGGCAATCTGTGTGTGAGATTAGCCAAGTAGGTCACCGTCAGCAGGTCGTTGATATTGCTGTTGAGCATGGTCTCAAAGTCATCAGGAACAATTTTAGGTACTTGGTTGACCAGACTCATCAAGAAGCAGCCCACAGTATTGTCAGCTGACACTTTTCCAGACAGCACATCTTCTGCATACTGCAATACTGTGCTCAGGGCATCCTGGATGCAGGCTGATGCTCCTCCAACTTGCTGCAAGTCACTCGAGAGTCCAATCACCCGGTTGGGACTAAAACAGGTCTTCATAATGAGGTCAAGTCCAGTGCGTTCGGTGTCATAATATGGGTATCTCACTGTCAAAGGTGTGAACATCACTCCCATGGTCCTTCCAGGGACACCCATTAAAGTGCTGACATAGGCCTTGATTCTCATTCGGCCATTCTGGAGGGTGGTGTCCACAGTGAGGTGAATGGGATTGGGGGCCTCTCGGCTATAGTACTCATGAATCAGTACAGAATGTTCTGTGATGTCGTGGCCTGTGGCGTAGCAGCCTAGGATGAGTTCATTTGGAGAGACTTTCTTGTGTAACTCATGCATGTTCTTAGCAAATTCCATGTCAACAGCCACCTCATCTTCAGACTCATTGTGGGGCACTGAAAAGCAATTTGTAACTTCCACTGAGTGCTTGTCGCCAGTTCCCAGCAAAGTCCCGATAACTCGGGCCGCGCCCTCATTGTGTCGCTCATAGCTGTCCACGATGGAGGCTAAAATGACTGGGTGCAGACGGACCACGCGGCCGCCAGGAAAGGGCCCAGGGAGAGCCAGGCCGGGCGGCGGTGGCGCCGGGGTGGCGCCGGGGTCTCCGCCGGGGCTTGCGCTGAGGCCGAGTTCTGGCCCGAGCCTGCGGGCATAGTCGCTGGGGTTTTGGGGTCCGAGAGCGAGGCAGGAGCAGGAGCCGGAGCCGGGGCCGAGGAGGAAACAGGAGTCGGAGCCGGAGCTGGAGCTGGGGCTGAGGTTGGAACAGGAGCCGCAGCCGGTGCTGAGGCTGGGGTGGCAGCAGGAGTACTCGTGGGTGGACTCGGCGTGGCCATCTTGTCCAAAGAGGAGGCCAAAGAGGAAGAGCAAATTCTTTTATTTTTATACAGTCCCCCTCCTGCTCCCCAGTCCACTCCACTATGTATGCAGCTTTCATTCTGGACTCTTGTCATGACAATAATATCTAATCATATATTCCTCCTAAACAGTTCTCTTCCTCATCTGTTTCAATGCAGTATACATTATTTATCCTCTTTTAGTTTCCCTGCAATCCCGATGTCAGTCCCGCTTTACAGCAGTGGCACTATGCAGTATTTGTCCTTTTGTGACTGAGTCACAAAAGAATATAATTTTACACTTATTCAGAATCCATTTAAATGAAACGGTAGTCGCGAATCAAAAGAGGTATTGCATTAGACTGCAACAGAAATATTTCAAGTGTCAAGAAGATGTCATCTTGAGGGCTAAAGTGCTCCTGGCTCAAACCATGATATTTTCAATTGCCTCATTTACATCCCCAAACTGGACAATGAACAAGGAATATTACAGAGTAACAGAAGCCAGTGTACTATGAGGACATGTAAGAATATTGAATATACCATGGGCTTCCAGAAAAATGAACACATCTGTTTTGGAAGAGTGACACCCAGAATGCTCTTTAGAAGTGAAGCTGAAGAGACTTCATCTGACTTATTTGGATGTGTTATGAAGAGAAGCATCATTCTTCGTGAAGTAAAGGGCAGTTAAAAAGAAGGGTGTCCTCTAGGAATTGGATTTAGATAGGGGTTACAGCAATGGATTCAAAGGTGGGAGGGATTGTAAAGGCAGAAGTACTTTTCCTGTGGCTGCTCAATAGGTCACAATGAATCAAAACTGACTTAAGAGCAACTAACAAGAGCATCCCACTTTTACAATACAAATTCAAAGCTCAAGTTAACATCACTTGCCCAGATAATGTAGCTGGAGAGCTGTCAAACGAATCAAAGCCTAGTACAGTTTGCCTCCACAGTCTGTGCTTATCCCCTAGTGGGATATTTGTACTTTGATACATAATCATATTTAGTGAGTTCAGAAGATAAACTATGCAATGGAGAAATTACCAGCCACTTGTAACAAATGTGTAACAAATGGTTATTTATATGACATACAAGAAAACGCTGGTCACTTAGCCCTATAGTAAAATATTCCCACTTTAAAGAAAAACTCATCACTATCCCCATGGAGTTGGACTGGCTCGGCTGATCCTCCACTGGGTTGCTGAGGATACAAATCTCATGGGGAGAGGTTGCCCATCTTTCTCCTATTGAGCCACTGGTGAATTCAAGCTGCCAGAGAAGCTTGACCTTTGGGTAAGAACACAGCTCTTTAGCACATACACTGTGCTACCAGACCTACCGCATACTAATTAAACAGCAATCATAAGTCAATTTGTTAAGATAAATGATTGTAAGCATAGATTAAATACATTGCTTGTAGGTGGAATGAACTGCTTTCATAATATCAATAATTGTTTTTTGAAGACTTATAGTGTACTGTGATACTCTAACAGAAACAGATGAAGAACATCAATGTTGACAAGTGCCACAGGACCACCTAAACCCAACAGATGAATTTTGTTAGGTTTAGAAAAGCTTCTCCTCCTCTTTCTAGTCCTTTTCCTTTTCTACCTTCTTCCCCTTTTCCTGTTCCTTCTCCTTCTTCAAGAAATTGTAAAAGGATTAGGAGGGTATGTAGATTCCTCACTCACATTAAAATCCTAATACTAAGTAAGGGAGAGTTCCCTGAAATGTGGCTTGCATTACTTTTGATCTTATAACGCGTAAATGTAGAGAGAAGAGAGTGAAGAAAGAGGGACCTGATGGAAGAAAGAAGACATGGATGAGTGTGTAAAT